CACCCTAGGCCTCCAGTTGGGGGTTAGGCACAGGGCTAATAACCCTGTCCCGTAAAAAAAAAAAGTTATGGAAACAGTGATGGAGAAATCGTCCATTACTGTGTGTGATGGCCTTCAGGAGTCAACAACCCATAATACTGCCAGTGGTGAAAGCCGAACGGAAGCCACTGGCATGAAGACTGAAGTGCTCAACACCAAGACAAAAAACAAACTTGTTTTTTGGAACGTATGGACAATGTACGAAACAGGAAAGCTAGCTCAGTTTCCAGCAGAGATGAGATGCTACAGCTTCCACATCCTGAGTGTCAGTGAGAGCAGATGGACGGGATCAGGAAGATTAACAACAGCCTCGGGAAAAACTTTGCTTTTTTCTGGATGGGATGATGGACAACACCATGAGGGGGTTTCTCTCCTTTTTAAGAAGGGAGTGGAGCATTTCCTGCTTGAATGGAAATTCATCAGCAGCAGACTTATGAGAGCCAGACTGAAAGGGAAACATAATAATATCATCCTGATTCAGTGCTGTGCTCTGACAAATGACAGTGATGAAGTAGTAAAGGACAAATTCTACCTTACATTACAGGCGGAGTTAGAGAGAGTACCACGCCACGACCTAACTATCGTCATGGGAGACCTGAATGCCAAGGTCGGTAAGAAGAATACAAACAACAGAGCAATGGGAAGACATGGGTGTGGTGCCATGAAAGAAAATGGAGAGCGTATTCTTGACATCTGTAATATGAATGACCTAGTCATCGGCGGAACTCTATTTCAACATTGTGAAATTCACAAGTTGACATGGTGTTCTCCAAATGGCAGAGATAAGAACCAGATTGACCATATCATGATCAATGGCAAATGGCGATGCTCACTGACGTGAAAGTGAGAAGGGGTGCAGATGTTGGCAGTGACCAACACCTTTTAACAGCCTCCATCAAGCTAAAACTGAGAAGTGTGGGTCCACCAAACAAGGAACATAGACGTTATGACATTGACAAGCTAAAGTCCCCTGAAATACAGAAAGCCTTCGTTCTGCAGCTAAAGAACAGGTTTCAGGCACTTGCAAACCTTGATGAAGAGGAGGGGTATGCAGATGAGGAGATCAACTAGAAGTGGGACAAAGTAACAGCAATTTATCTAGGCTACAGGCAGAAGAGAAGGAAGGAGTGGATTACACCCAGCACATGGAATGTCAAAGAAACCAGACAAGCCCTGAAGAAAAACGTTTTAGACACGAAATCCCAGAAGCTAACAGACAAATACCACGAGCAGTATAGCAAGGCACACCGGGAGGTCAAATGCTTTGTGAGAGCGGACAAATGGCATTGTATTGATAATCTGGCAACACAAGCAGAAGATGCAGCTGCTTGTGGTGATTGTTTAAAAAGTAATAATCTCTGACATTGTAAGTGCGTAGATAGTAGATAGAATTGTGTCCGA